GCTGTGATGGGGGCTCGGGGTCCCGGCTGCCGCTCTGGCTGCTGCTAGCAGAGCTGATGGAGGGGTTTCAAGGGGCTTCAGCTGGTCCCTGACCCTCCCTGAAAAGGCAGGGAGCACCCTAACCCTTCTCCCCTTCCCCTCTTCTAGCTGGCTGTCCTGGAGGACTACGCAGATCCCTTCGATGCGGCGCAGGTGGCTGGTAGCCAGGCAGGGCTGGAGAAGGTGACGGAGAATGATGGATACATGGAGCCGTATGAAGCCCAGAAGATGATGGCTGGTAAGGTGGAACGCTCCATGCAAAGCCTGCTCTTTGCACCTCTGGTGAATTTGGTGCCCACCGTACTGTGTTATTCGCAGCCCGGGACAGCATCAGGTCCCCCAGACAAGGCAAACCTGGGCGATCGCTGCAGTGGTGTGCAGCCACTTTGCAGGCAAATTTTCACAGCTTTAGCCATTTGGAAGGGCTTGCTGTAGCCAGAGCAGTCGCAAAGGCAACCCGAGCAATAAAAGCACCTTGGTATTTCTGCCTGAGGTCCTCCCCGCTGGGACCACGGTGCCTACCCGCCAGGAGAGACCTGACATTCAATGCGTCTGGTGTAAAACTAAGATGGATGTGGGAGCTGTTTCATTCCGTTAGGACTGGGCCAGAGCGTGCTGTTGTGTGCCGCAGCAGCAGGGTCCCCAGTGGGCTTGTTCATAGCTGGAAAGCAGGCGAGGTGAGAGCGTGCGCTCCCGAAGGCATCCCTCTGACCGCAGCGGCACACGCAGGGTCACCGTGCCGGCTTGCACGCTCCGGGCTCTGGCTCTGCTTTGCAGTCCCGTGGTTTTCCTGGAGTGGGTGGTTTCTAGAAAGCTCATGTGGCTTTTTGGACTAGATCATTGCATTTCTTGGAAAAATCGGCAAGCGGCGAAGAGGCTCCATGTGCCTGTGGGAGAAGGTTTTGTTTTGCTTGAGGACGTTTTATTAAACTATCCACGCTGGGTGTCCAGGGAAAAAACCCAGCCTTGCTGCTCACAGGGAATCAGGCTCTGGGATGCTCTGTCCCCATGGACCCTGCTTTGCAGGGCTGCCCGAGAGTGGCAATTTTGTACAATTAAAATTTTTTTTTTGTAATTTTTTTTTGTTGGTTTTTTTTTTTTAAAAAACAGTGATTTGGAGAGATAAACTACCCTCCAATTTTTCTGCCTGGGAAGCTTGCCTGAAACATGAAGACTGTAGTTTAAAGGCAACATAGTCTATTCTGCTTTGTGTCCATTTTTGGTGAAATACTTAGTGAATCTATTTCTTTCATAGTCCAAACCACTTTCTCCCCCCGCCCCCAGAAAACAAATAAAACCCCAATAAAGCATTTTCACAAGCGGATCTACCCCTAAGCTGTGAAAGAAATGTTGAAAGTGAGAAAGAAATACTTAAAAAAAAAAAAGGAA